GTGGGGTAGAAAGGGGGAACCGATTACAAGAACCTACATATAACCTCCTCCCTGGGGGATGGACAACACAAAAGTGGGTGAAGGGAGATGTTGGACAGTGTAAGATATGACAAAACAATAATAATTTATGAATTCTGAAGGGTTCATGAGTGAGGGGGGAGTGGCGAGGAAGGGGGGAAAATGAGGAGCTGATATTAAGGGCTCAAGTAGAAAGCAAATGTTTTGAGAATGATGATGGCAACAAATGTACAAATGTGCTTAACACAATGGATGGATGTATGGATTGTGATAAGAATTGTACGAGCCCCCAATAAAATGATTTAATAAAAAATCATGTTGGCGGGACACCATTTCAACCTGATGTTATTGGTGGCCTCCCTCATCAGGATGATGTGTCTGTGTCTTTGTCTCTTAAGATTGCTTTAGACCTACTCAATACTTGCAGAATTGTTGCCTTGTGTCCAACCCTTATTGCTTTCCTTGTGTTCTGTCACTTAAGTTTTACTCTGTGTAATTGTTCCTGTATTTCTTGTCCAAAAAGTGTTCCCATATATATATTCTCATTTTTTACTGGTATTTTCAATTCTATACCATTGGCTACATTAATGGTATTAATCAGAGTTATTGAATGACTGATGGATGTTATTTATGGTATTTCTCAGGAGGCTGATAATGCTGCCTCTGTGGTATAACATAGACATATACAAACCTTGAATATTAATGAATTTTGAGCTCTTACTTAATCATAGCCCTAATCTAAGAACAATTTCTTCTTGTGATGTGGCACTGCTCAATACTAACCCTCATGAAGAGATCACTGAAGATATAGCAAAGTATGATGAAGAAATCAGATGGTGCCGGCTATCAGAAAGGATAGTATCTGGGGTCATAAAGGTTTGTCTTTAAGCAGGTAGCCATCTAAGTGACAAAGAAGCACACCAGCTTGTGTAATCAAAGAATTATTGTTAATATTAATAATTTATGATCAGAGGAGGGATTATATTAGAGCTTAAATTCTGAGCACCTGCTTTGCAAAAAGCTATGGGTGGCAGTGACAGCCATTTACAGAGTCCCCAGATAGCTTGAGCCTCCATTGAATGCTTTCTGATCATTAACCAAAGAGGCAGAAGATCTTGCCCTCAAGCAGAATGCCTTGAAGAGTGGATTACCTCCACCCTCTCTAACCAGCCCAGGGAGGGGCACGGCAGGCTCTCTCTTGGGGACGTACTAAGCGTGTCCTTGATGGAGTCATCCTACTGGAGACAGTACAGGGAGTTGCATAGTCATGAGTCATGCTTTATTAGTTTCACCCTTGTCAGAAAGTCTTGGACCAGTTTTGTAAGCCCTGGTATCTATCAAGGTGAATGTCCCAATTGTGTTCTGGTTTCCTGACTCTGGAGCCCCTGCTATAACTGTGATGTATTGATCTGCCATCACTTATGCTTTTGTGACAATTTCCTTTGTCTGTCCCCATACCCTATTTGTTTTGAATCTCAATTGTGAACCCTGGGATGCCATTTCAACCTCCTATTGATCGGTTCTCTTGTCCAGATGATATCTCTGTGTTGGTGTCTCTGTCTTTTTTAAGACTTACTCAATGTTCTCTTTAAATTATATGTTAAGAAATCATATCTATAAGTAACTATTATATTATTAATAGAAATAGAGAAAAAGGAAACGTGAAAAACTATTAAAATTGGTCAATCTAAATGAAGATCTAGATGGAGATCTAGGCAAAAAACAAGGCTCCAGGAATTGACACAATTTTTGAAATATTTCAATAAGCTTATACAGGACTGAGGGTGATCACTCATCCCAAGAACTTTAGAAGGCAGCTACCTAGTCAACTGTCCGGAAGACATCCATTTCTGTACCTATTCTGAAGAAAGGTGATTCAACAGAATGCAGACATTTTTGAACAATAGCGTTAATAGAACACAGAAATAAAATTTGGGGGAAGATAATGAAAAAATTGTTGCAGCAGTATATCAATTGGGATCTGCCAGAAATGCAAGCCAGATTCAGAAGAGGATGTGGAATGTGGACATCACTGCTGACATCAGATAGGTCTTGGCTGGAAGCAGAGACTATCAGAAAGGTGTTCCTTGTGTTTTATCAACTGTGCAAAGGTTTAAACTGTGTGGATCATAATGAACTATGGATAACATTGTGAAGCATGGGAATTCCAGAACATTTAATCATGCTCAAGGGAAACTTGTACACAGATCGAGAGGCAGTTGTTCAAACAGAACAAAGGAATACTCTGATTTAAAGCCAGAACAGGTGTCCGTCAGAATTACAGTCTTTAATCGTACCTACTCAACTTTGTATGTTGAACAAATAATTCAAGAAGCTGGACTGTATGAAGATGAATGAGTCATCAGGATCGGAGAAAGGCTGGTTAGCAACCTGTAATACGTAAACAACACAACCCTGCTTGCTGAAAGCCAAGAGAGCTTAAAGTACTTACTGGTGACGATCAAAGACTACAATCTTGAGTATGAATAACAACTCAATGTAAACAAAATCAAAATACAACTGAACCAATAGATAGCATCAAGGGAAAGACTGAAGTTGTCAAAGATTTAATTTTCCGTGGATCCACAATCAATACTCGTGAAAGCCTCACTCAGCATATTGCACCCGGCAAAGCTGCTGCACGAGGCTGCTTTAACATGTTAGAGAGCAAAGATGTCCCTTTGAGGGTAAGATCACAAGCCTGACTCAAGCTAGGGTATTTTCAGTCATGTAATATAAGCTGGACAATGAACAAGGACGACCAAAGGAAAAATGGATTCGTTTTATTTATGGTGCTGGTTAAGAATACTGAAATTAGCATGGACTCCCTGAAGAACAAACAAATCTGTCTTGAAAGAAGTACAACCAGGAGGCTCCTTGGAGGTAAGGATAACAAGACTTTATCTCAAGTACTGTAGGCATGCTATCAAGCGGCAGGGACCAGGCCCTCTAAAAGTACCTCATGCTGGGTCAAGTACAGGGTCAAGGAAAAAGAGGAAGACCCTCCATGAGATGGCTTGACACAGTGGCTGCCACAAGGGGCTTCAGCCGAACAGTCTTCATGAGGATGACACAGGATCCGCGGTGTCTGTTCTGTTGTACTTACTGTCACTCTGAGTTGGACCTGGTCCAGTGGCACCTAACAGTAACAACAGATGAAGAATCAATGTGAATTAATTCTTGTGGATCTTTTTTTCAAAATGAAAATATGTCTTCGAAACTGATAGGGTGACTTGGTATTTGTTGTTGATGTGCTTTTCCACGGTTTCCAGTAAAATTGAACATCTGTTCATTTGTTGGAAAAGGAAAAGTCACCCCAGTTTTCTTTTCTGTTAATTTCATTTTCCTTCCCTAATTCTATTGGGCCTTTCATCTTTTTCTTAGTGAAATGTGTAAAAAAAAAAATCTATAATATTCTGGATACTGATTGTTGTTACAGATTGTAACAAATTTCTCTCAGCCTTTGGCTTGTCTTGTACCTTGTGTGATGAGTTCACTCATGTGTATTGAGAATTAAAAAAAAAAGAGAGACTCACTGCCTCACTCACTCGCTCACTGTCTCCCTTGCTCACTGTCTCCCTTGCTCACTGTTTCACTCACTCATTGTCTCACTCGCTCAGTCTCACTCTCAATGACTCACTTTCTCACTCTCACTCACTCTCTCACTGCTTCACTCACTCACTCACTGTCTCACTCTCACTCACTGCCTCACTCACTCATTGACTCACACACTGTCTCCCTCACTCACTCACTGTCTCACTTACTCACTCACTCACTCACTCACGCACTGTCTCCCTCTCTCACTGGCTCACTCACTGGCTCCCTCACTCACTGGCTCACTGACTCACTGTCTCACTGCCTCACTCTCACTCACTGACTCACTCACTGGCTCACACTCACTGTCTGACTCATTCACTCTCTGACTCACTCACTGCCTCACTCACTCACTGACTCACTTTCTCACTCTTACTGTCTCACTCGTTCACTGCTTCACTCATTCACTGTCTCACTGTCTCACTCTCTGTCTCATTCGCTCACTGCCTCACTCACTCACTGTCTCACTCTCACTCACTGCCTTACTCACTCATTGCCTCACACACTCACTGCCTCACTCTCTCACTGGCTCACTCACTCACTGTCTCACTCTCACTCACTCACTGCTTCACTCATTCACTGTCTCACTCACTCACTGATTCACTCTATCAATTTCTCACTCTCTCACTGTCTCACTCACTGACTGACTGTCTCTCTCACTGTCTCACTCACTTGCTCACTGTCTCACTCACTCACTATCTCACTCTCTCACTGTCTCACTCTCACTCACTGTCTCCCTCACTCACTGACTCGCTCACTGTCTCACTCTCTCACTGCTTTACTCGCTCACTCTCACTCAGTCTCACTCTCTCACTGCTTCACTCACTCACTGTCTCACCCGCTCAGTCTCAGTCACTCACTGTCTCCCTCACTCCTTGTCTCACTCACTGCCTCACTCTCTCACACACACAAAAAAAGATACTGAAAGAATATGTGCCAAAATTACAACTGTGATTATCATTACGTAGTGGAATTGTAGATGCTTTTGCCTCTTCCTTTTCTTTAATTTTTAAATTTTATTGTCCAAATTCTCTGCAACGATTATAGACTCATATATTTTCCCTAAAAGATGAGATAAAATATAAACATAGTGCTTTTGAGTGATGATAGTGGGATATAGCACCTTGAAGAGAAATCTTGAGTGTAATCTTCCAATTTAATTTTTAAAATGTTTTTTCTATTACTGAAGTAAAAAAAAAGCTTAGAGTTTATGTAGCAAGTCAAAAATGATTAAATTCTGAGACCTTCATAAGTAGTTAAATAAACTTTCTCTCTTCTGAGTTGTTTGCTTTACAGGTATGTAAGGCTCTTTGGAGAATAGGACCCAGGTTACTTATATGTATCATTGGTGACATATCCTTTTTTTTTCCTTTTCTTTTGCCCAACAGCAAATAATGAAAAGACTAATAAAGCGCTATGTTCTGAAAGCACAAGTAGACAAAGAAAATGATGAAGTGAATGAAGGTAAGCATCTCGAGTTAGAGAAATGTCCTTTTACAGCTAACTTCATGGACTGGAAAGCTTAATATTGAATCATACTTTTAAAAAACCCCATCTTAGTTTACAATTTGGATTTTTTCAAGATTATATTCCTAAAGTTCTTTTTCTTCTTCTCCTCTTCTGCCTCTTCTTCCTCTTCCTCCTCTACATTCTTCTTCCCCACCCTAGCCCTTCTTCCTCCTTCTTTAAGAAGAAACATTTATCAAACATGTCAATTAGTGGCAATTTACCTCTCCCTAGAATACCTTGATTCTGAAATTGTATAGAATATCATCTTTCTTGGATATTTTACTGTCTGTTACAATAACATTACATCAGATAGCTAGTAATAAAGGTTTAGTCTTATTTATTTCAGATTCGTGTTGACAATTTTCCAGTGATAATGGGTAAAACAATAGCTGACTCCCAACAGAATCCAGATTTCTTTAGCAAAGCCCTAACTTTGTTATCCAGAATCAAAACCCCAGTCTGTTTTTCTTCTCTGGAATTTCGTTTTACGTTTCTCCTTGTTGTCTTACTTGAGCCTGCCTGTTTTTCTAGACATATTCTGGGCGGCTGTATCTGGACTAACACATTTTTCATCAAAGGCTGCAGGTACACCAAAACTCAGGCTCAGAGTTGCAGATGAAATCAACTTGGGAGAAATAAGTAGTTCCCCAAATTTAAACTGTAGCTCTTAACATTGTACTCATTTCTAGGTCTTTCATAACAAATTACTGCAAATGTGGGGGTTTAAATTCACAGAAGTTTATTGTCTCACAATTGTAAAGGCTGGAAGTCCCAAAGTCAGGTGCTGGCAGGGCCACTATCTTTCTGTGGGTTCCAGTGGAGAATCCTTCCTTGCTTTTCCCATCTCTGTCTTCGTCTTCACGAGGCTTTCTTTCTGTGTCTTCTCCCCTCTATTAGGAGGACACTTTCCCGTCGATTTAGGGCTCACTCTATTCCAGAATGATCTCATCAGGAGGTCCCTAATCTATAAAGGCCTCTTTTTGTCAAATAAGGTCACACTCAAAGGCTTTGGCATCTTTCTGAAGATCACCCTTCAATGTACTACAATGACCAATCATAAAAAACACTAGATCTATCTGCACTGGTAAGAAAAGAAAGGGCTCAACTTAGTAAAATTATTCTTGGGCTTTGAAGTTTTTAAAATGAGCGTTGAGTAATATGAGGGATCCCTTGTAAAGGAGCTCACCCAATAGCCCTGTATTTTTACAAACAATGTGCCTACCTAAATCAAGTACCCACACCTACAGCTTGTTGAAACAATGAATTTCATAAAGTTGTTCTGGCATAGAATGCCCCGGCATGTACCATGAATATCTCATGACATTTACAGAAGAGAATATAAGTTCCATATACCTGTCCTCCAATATTACAGGTATATCATATAAGCTATTCATCTTCTTTTGTTATCTTCATTTTGTTTTATCTTCTGCCTAGGTAGATGAAAACAGGCTAATTATATTAGTTTTTAATATAATTGTATAGTAAATTTCATGCCTTATTATAAGGTAAGGGCTTTTGCCCTGGTCAAGAACTCATGAATTGAGTTTGGTAGTCCCCTAGTCATTAGAAAATAAACAACTGCAGCTGTGTGTTTGTTTCTAATAATTTAAAAATCTTGCCTTAAGTGACATTTCCATATGATCAGAATTATAAACTAAAGTCAGCAAAATGTAAAAATTTTTTAAAATGGCATTGCCTCCTTGCAAAAATAACTGTGCGGGGGTGGGGAGGGGGAGAGTTGCGCAGTTAACAAAAGTATATATGTATGATAAGTATTAGTGTATAAATGGGCATATGTGTGTAAAAAGGACTTCTACACATGTATGACTAAGGAGTTACTAAGGAGTTTGAGAGTGAGCACAACTCCAGTTAGAGAGACAGGATTGAAACAAGGTGGTAGAAAATAGAAATCAGGTCTGTTGTAACATACTCACTAAGCCTGTTGCCAATGAGTGAATTCTGACTCAAAGCAACCATGGAAGGACAGATAGGAAGGGTTTCCAAGGTTGTACATTCTTACGGCAGCTGAGTGGCGCATCGTTCTCACACCAAGAGGCTAATGGGTCAAATCACCAGGCTTTTGGTTAGCAGATAAGCACTTTAGCCACTATGCCACCAGGTCTCTATAGTAGTACCATAATCACCCCCCCCAAAAAAAAGTTATTGAAAGGAAATTAGACAGTCTTAACATCATTGAAAATGGTTTCTTTCAGGCCTTTACACAAAAAAGGAAATGAACTAATGAAAATTTGGAGTTTTGAGCAAAGTTCTCACTAGAAGAAAGTGTATCGTGTAGCTTAACCTCTTCATTAAGGAAATAAGACTACTGAAGCTTTAATTTGTGTTTCCTGTTTTGGCACAAGTTAGTCTGTTGTCTCCCCTAACTCAACACAAAGAAGTAGGATGCAGTAATAGGAAGGTGAAGGGAATCCAACAGGCTTATGGCCTGCAGATAGAACGGAATAAAGTAAGAAACAATTTCTTCCTCCAAACACCAGTTTTGTGGTTTCAAATTAGATCAGTTGAGTCCCTCTACACACCATCTATACACATCAAAGTCAGTTTGTCTTACCATGATGGCTTGCATGGTACTAAGATACTATTTGTATTACAAAAACCAGGGGGTCTACCATGGTGGACAGGTTTCAATAGAGTGTCCAGACTAAGATATAATAAAAAGAAAGTTCTGATGATTCAGTTCTGAAAATTAGTCAATGAATACCCCCGGGATCACAAAAGAATGATATCCAATATACTTACTGTAAAGCAGAACTAAGGAACAGGGAGGAAGACAGGCATAACTGACAGGACAAGGGAGAACAGAAACAGAAATAGATTTATTAGTGGGTGGATGAACTCCCGGACGAGGTTCCATGACCTAGGCCAACAGGTCAGGTAAGTCATGCTCAACAGCTGGGGGTGAGGGTTTTTAAAGTGGTGGTGAGGAATGTATGGCAATTATGGCAATCAGCATACGGGGTCTGGAAACTCCAAGAATTGCTTGTCGACTCCTTCTCGTGGCTTTCTTTGAACCCAGAACATCTGGTTTCACTGGTTATCTTATCTGGCGGTTATCTTATCTGGTGCCGTCTGCTGCCTTTGGGATGTGCATGGAAGCACGTGCAGGGCCCGGACCTGCTTCAGCTTAGTCCAAACCAGGGCCGACTAGTTCAGACCCAGCCCTAACATTCCAAACTTCTTAATATTGGTAATGGGGTGACGTTTTCTGTCTTAACTACTTCCTGCTGAGATAGGGTGAAGAAGGGGGGGATTAAGAGTTGGAAAGTTCAGGGCCGGGCCAGTCAGCAGCGGACTGTAAGGGTGAAGAAGCTGCTTGAAGGTCAGGTTGGAGATATCTTTCATCCGTTCCTGCAAGAATCTAAACACACAAAGAACTAAAAGCAAAAGTACACAGATTATTATCAGAGGCCCCATGAGGGGCATAACCCAGGCCATGGCAGGGTTTTGAAGCCATGAGAAGCTGGTGGTGCTCCATTGACGTTTCCTGATTTTATTGGCCATGGTGCGGAGTGACTTCACATTTTGTTTAACTATGCCCAATTCATTAATATAATAACAACAGTCTGTATTTAGAAACATGCATGTTCCTCTTTTATCTGCTGTTAATAAGTCAAGAGTTTGGCGATTTTGTTGGGTGGCGTGTGCTAAGGATGTTATCAGTTTTGATGTTTTTGCAATGGATGATGGCTACTTTTGCTGGCAGCTGAAGAGCCTGTAGGAGATGACCCTTTGGTAGTCAGAAAATTCCCGCTCCTTCTAGATGGTGCCATGACAGTGAGCTAAAAGGAACGTATGCATAATTAGAATCAGAATATATATTAGCCATTTTTCCCTTTAGCTAGACGGAGAGCTCAAGTGAGAGCAACAAGTTTTGCTTTTTGAGAAGTAGTTTTTTGGGGGAGGCAGGCAGCTTTCCAGACTTGGTCAAGTGAGAGGACAGCATAGGCAGCCTGCCGTTGCCCCCTGGGCATTTAGGACAGAACTGCCATCAACAAACAAAGTTAGATCTGGGTTAGGATATGGCTGACCAGAGAGTCTGGGTCGGGGAGGGTTAGTGCCTCAACTGCCTGGGGGCAGGAGTGACCACTAAGTTCCAGCGAGTTTAGGAGCTGAAGCAAGAGGGTTGCTGGGTTTAAAGAAGGAGCCAGGCGCAGAGTTATGTTAGGGTTTTTGATAAACATGCGATAGACTTTCTGCAGGTGGCTTGGAGACAGCAAAGAGAGGACTCAGTGTGAGAGGAGGTCCTGCAGCCTGTGGGGATAGGCTTCTACTGGGTTAACTTTAGGGCTCTTTCGATGAGGGCGGCGGCTGCCGCCAGGGCCCAGAGGCAGGGTTGCCAACCTCTGACTGTCATATCTAGTTGCTTAGACAGACAAGCTATAGGGGATAGAGTGGGCCCCAGGGGCTGAGCCAGGACTCCAACTGCTATACCTTGTTTTTGGCCTCTGTAGAGTAAAAAATGTTTGGCAGGGTTTGGTAGACGCAGGGGTGGGGGTGAAGGAAGGCATGTCAGAGTTTCAGCAAAGGGTTAAAGGTCTGTTGAGAGTCGCTTCTGCTGCATTCCATAAAGGCTGCTGCGACC